AAGCAATACAGCAGCCACCACAGGCACACAAAAACACACATCTCCCTCCCTGGAGATCTGGCCTTGGTGATTTTATACCTGCCTTTGTTGCTGTGTTATGCCTAAGAAATGCTTGAGGACAAACAGTGCACTACACTCAAGCACTGTAGCCAAGAAAAAAGTCACCAGGGAACTGAAAGGCCAATTCCACAGAGTCTTCTCTGTAGTGCATTAGTGGGCCGTGAGCACCAGTGCTTTAATGTAGCATGCTGCGAGGCAGAAAGACTTTTTGTTATATGAGGGACACTTCAAGAGTCCAAACTGATTTTGACTGAGGAGATATCTGGATATCTAAGTAAGGCTACTTCCAGCCGTTCTTACAAAGCCTTGGATTGTTTAGGTACACACATACATGTCGGCGTCCACCAGTAAGTAGGACCATGTAGGACCCTGCTGGCAAGGACAAATGGTTACAGAGGTCAACTAACGTATACAGAAAGCAAACAGTTGGAGCACTGTGGAGAACAAAGCACTATGAGTTTATATAGCCTCTCTCCACAAAATCTGCTTTTTAAGAAATGCATTTGCCAACTCGAGTGTGTTTCGTCTGCAAGTATATATACATTGTCATTTCTGGATTATTTTTTTTTTAGATTATGTCTCTCACAGTGGACATGCGACGACAATTTCAGACCCCTCCATGATTTCTAAGTGGGAGAACTTGCAAAATAGCAGGGTGTTCAAATACTTATTTTCCTCACTGTATTATTCCAACCCCACACAATAACACAGTGAATATGCTTGTGTTCTGATGAGAAAGTACAAGTGAAAGCTATATAGGATATTGTGGTTATGTCAATAAGGAAAACCACAAAACAGACGTTTGGAGGTGTAAGAACACAACCTGCTTGCACATTTCCTGGAAAAATCTGTGAAACTGCGACAGGGCTGGGCTTTATTGCTCTTACTTCAAGCCAAACCTTTAGTCATACCTAAAAAGGTGGCTGAAACTATTACCTCCAAATAACGACCCATGCAAGGCATCAGCCAGTGCTACTTTGAAAAAATAATTTCCTCTTGCATCACACTGTAGTCATAAGCAGATGTGCACAAATCAGTCTGGGAATGTGTTCTGGTGATTAAAAGGGTGGGAATAATGAGTTTAAAAGGAATTAACTACAAACTAACTCCATGGCTTAAGGTAAGTGTTATTCAGACCTCCACTCATTTATTATTGTCTCAACCCGTCAGGATATACACTGGCATGTTTGGACCCGCATTAAAGAGGAGCCTGGTTTTCATTTTCTGGGAAGTTGTGTCTGCTTCAACTGAACAGGGCTTAAACAGGTTTCTTACCTGAAGAATGTTTTGGCCAGCTCTATCTGTTCCTATAAGTAGTACGTACGGTTACTATGCGCTTGCGTAAGACGAGTAGACCTTTTTTATTTTTAAAGGAGGAAACGATCGCCCCACGAAAATAACTTAGATATGTACAAAACCATATCGCATTCCAGAGATGCTGTGCAGCATGTCAACATAAAATCATAGAGGCAATCCGATTGTTTTCAAAGCAAGGACTACGGTAAATAACGTTAAAAGCACAAGGCCAATTCTCGCCGCATTGCTTGGCCAGCTGCTGTTGCTGTAAAATGTGTTGAGGGGGAAAACAACACTGGCCTGGTTGTGCTTCTGTGCACCAGCCACAGATATGAGAAGAAAACATGTAAGATCCCAATGGACTTACCTTAAGACTTTCATTAATATGATTTGCGCCTCACTCTCTCAATGTTTGGTTATGGTTTCCAGGGTCGCTCGCGAAGCCTCGTATGTTGAGTCAAAGCCACAGCCATGCCGAGTCATTTCTGATCAACAACACAGCCAGCCTCTTGCTCTCCGCACGCACCCTAACAACTTGTGGGGGATGCGGCGAGGCTGGAGCCCCGCGCCTGGGCCAGCTTTGCGGTGTTTACGGAGAAGCCCATCCAACACAAAACGTGCATACTTGCCGAGGTGCGGATCATGCAGCTCGAGGATCCATAATAGGAATGGTGGAGGAGGTGGGGGCGGGGGTGGTGGTGATGGTGTGTGAGTTAACTCTCTCTCTCTCTCTCTCTCTCCTACAGGGCTCAAATTACAGCTGAATTCTTAAAGATACACACACACACACACACACACACACACACACACACACACACACACATGCGCAGCACAGTCTATGGCAGCACCACAGTGGTCCGCCCAAGAACACTCACTGCTTGCGTCTATTTATAGCCAAGGCTTGTTGAAGGCTAAATCAGACCAGATAGCCAGTAAAGCAAACGGCAGAAGCACGGCCCACTGGTCTCATGTCAACGAATAAGGCTTTTAAATCCATCCCTTCGCAGAAACCTTGAACGCATTTAGCCACATGCGATATTTGTCACAAACATTCTGCACAATTCATGATGCTGAGTGGCCCAGATGTAGTCTACATGATTATTATGCTACTCTGACACAACTGGAGGCAGGCCTGCTCACTCTTACTGGGTTGTAATACAGTCTATGGTTATAAGTCAGTGAGAGACTCCATTCATAGCCCACTCATTCACAGAGAAAGAAAGAAAAGGAAAACTAGTCAGGACAGAAGAATAGAAGGGGGGTATTGTAAATAAACATTCAACAGCAGCTCTCAACTCTTATTAAGCCACATGGCCCTGTCCTTCATCAGATGTCAGCCTTTTAGTGTCACCAGAGGTCACATCACAGATTAAATGACCAGCGGCTGCAACATTAAATCAAATCTCCCTATGAATTGAATGAGCAAAGCCAGTGCACTTACAGCACAGTGATGTGGTGGCTGCAGGTTTGCAGTTGTTAATGGTTCAAGGCGTCATTGATGCATGCATAAAATGTTTTTCACTGGGTCCTTGCTAGTGGTCTCTGTCACACACAATCAGCAGAGCACACACACACACACACATGAAAAGAAATCATGTGAAAACTGTCCATTGTCCCCAATTTATAATTCATTAATAACAGTGTTATTCACAGTAAAAGAAGTGTCAGCTACTTCCCTGGTCCTCAACCTCCTCACCGCTGGAAAACATTAACTCTGACGTCTGAGCAAGCATGAGGGAAGTTTCCACTAACATGTTTTCTTTTTCATTCCTCTGTGGTGCTTTGTCACCTAAATTTCCCCTATGGAAGATTAATAAACACATATCTTATCTTACTGCGTCTTTACTCCACATGCATTTGTTGACTGTGATTTAATAAGGTTAAAGTTAAGGCAGGTTTGTCAGGTCTTGCAGGTGTGTTATGTCAGCTCTCTGAGGTAAATGCCAGCAACAAACACTCTTCATGTTAGCAGAATGTTTCCCATACCATGCTTGTAAACACACAAGCTTCACCAAGTCTAACATCGAAGAAGAGCCCAACCACCGGAGGGAGACAACCTCCCTTTGCTCTAACAAAATCCCTGGGGGTCTCACTGCACTGCACACTGTTATGTGTTATTGCTCTCTTACTGTTAACCATGGTGGGTGAGAGTTGGGGCATTTGACAATGAGCTTATTGCACAATTAGTTAACAATACAAACCAAAATAAGACTTTTGGTTTGGTGTCTACATTTCAAAATAAAAATATATTTTTAATGTGTTGAAATGAATTTGTCCATAAGTTATATATCCAAAAAGCAATAGCTGGTTGACATCTCGCATAAACTCTATCAGGAAAAGGCTAGTCGAGGCCGACAGTGAGAGAGAGGGGAAACAGGTCTGAAGCTGACTGATGCGTTCAATTGAACTCTCACTGCCTTCGGACCAACCGGTGACAAACAAATAAATCACGGGCTATAAGTAGGACCTCCTTGACATATACGTCTAAGTTCTGGTGTGGGTAGATTTGTTTCATCCCTTCAGCTTTTAATAGCTGACAAGGAAGAGTTGCGTGTATACTGGTTGCAGTTAGAAGAGTTGCAGCAATCAACACTTCCGTGCCTGTTAAATATCGTGTCAGACTTATTTCGCAATACAAATGCATTCTGGGTAAAGCTTTTCAAAGCAACTACCAAGTCACGTGACCGATAGAGGCCGTACATATTAGAGCTGGATGAGGTTAAATCATGGAGTTTTAAACATACAATTTTCTACTAATAGTTTATCAGATGTGGGTTATTGTGGGATTATTTGTTGGTTTATGTGGATCAAATCGTCGTTGCATCTGTTTTCGTTTTTGTTGGTACAGTGAGTGGTAACTTTAGTAAAATTGCGTTGTGATTTAGACCCCTACCACTGTTTTCCCCCAAAATAAATATTTTTATTTACTAAAACCGCAAAGCACGATGGGATATACCAACCAGAATGGTTCCGCCCACTCAGTGGAGGACTCACACTAACGCCAGAGACTGTAGCATATTTGGTAACACGTATTATACTAGTGTTTGCTTCACTCTAAAATCCCACCGTTTCTCTGCATTACACTGTAGTAATGCACGGTAGCTGTAACAGTATGCAGTATATATTATATCAATAGCCAGCATCTGAGGTGGCTGTCCGACAGTTCCGACTTCTGCCACATAGCTGTGCTCCATCTCCGTGTTAATAACCCCAACTGGGTGGATATACTTGGAAATCTTAGGGGGGTTCCTGTACGGTAGTAATTTTACAATAGCAACGTTTGCACCCTAAAAGGATTGTAATTCAGTTTTTACATTTTTAAAACCAGAGATTTGACATCCTAGTTTATACATTACATTGCATTATTTTCTGGGAAAAATGGGTTCACTCTGCTGGTTATCAAAGAAACACATCTTAATCAGTACAAAAAATAAGTTGGCTACAATGTAATGTAGAAATGACAATAATTTCCACAGAACTTCCAAACTTACGTTTATTTAAACCTTTTTCTGCAATTCTTTTCCATATTATTGTAGTGAAGCTTTACACAGTCAGACATGTCAGTATTTTAAGTTTGTTTAAGGTTAGTTACTCAAGAAAGTTGACTGTCATCTGGTGTGAGATGTAACACACTAGAAACATAGTTAAAGATAAAATATATCCTTTTTATTATTCATATGGAAATACAAAATGCAGAAACATGCATTGGTAATGGCATAAATACAGTAGGATCAACATACAAAAAATAATTATAAAAGAAACTGGAAAAAATTAAGCTCATGGAAGCTTCCACTGTTATAGTGGTGGAAAAATACCATGTGCTTGTCATGTAGACACAGAGACAATTGCGTACTGAATAAAGAGAAAAAGCAAAAAAAACACATATACATTACATTATTACACATAAACATGTACTTTGGTCAATAACAAAGCAAAAAGATCATAAATGCACCGGTCAGTGGACTGAATTATTCAGACGAAGTATGAAGTTTGATACACAATATATAAATATAAAAGCATCTTTAGTGATCAATGTGGAATAATCAGTTTAACTATAACATTGAATTAGTGGTAATAAAAGCAATAAAATGAAAGCTAGTGGACCAAAGCCGCACTATAATAGTCTGTTTTGTTGACTAAAGGCCTCTTAAGTGAGTGCATGTACCATAGATTCTTTCCGGCGGACACCTTAAAAGACAACTTAATCCTACAAGGTGCTCTTTCTCACAAAACCACTCATATTTCCACATTTGTGTGTTTTGTCATCAGACAGTTTGGCATTTATTATATGGATATATGTAGCTCTTAAAAATATAGATAATATGAATATCAAAATACTGTCACACAAAATATGATGAGTCTTGAGTTGATAATGGATCATAACTGTGATGACTAAGTCAAAACTAACTACAACACAATCTATAAATATCACAATTTTGTGCCTTAGTACAAGTCCTTATTCCATGCTTTTTAAAAATTAACAAGTCGCCTGACACCATGTTTTAGCTTCATTTCTGAGCCTGTGGTGACACTATTGTAAACCCAGCACAGTAATACATTTTACAAATAACATTCACCATAATAAGTGTATCAATACACTCCAATTTAAATGTTTTGTTTCAGGGCGTGGCTTGGATTATTAGTGTCAGTCACCATGTAAGAATAGCACCTTGGAGCTACGCTAGAAGCTCACAGTAAAAAGATGTGTGCACAGGGTATGCACACTAGGCACTTCTTTAACACACGTGTCTAAATTCACACATGGTCACACGATGCATGCATGTACATCCATGCACACAGTTAAGACCTGAGAATGAAGAGTTGAAAGTTAAAATACGCTTGCTCAACTACCTTTACTAAATTAATATGCATTATTTACTCTGGATACAGGAAACTGTCTAAAAATGCTTAAACCCATCAGAAAGTTGACAAAGAGATTCTTCCACAACATGTTAGAATTGTTTTGGCTTTGTGTGGCACTTAGCAATTCTAAACACAACGTATGTATTCCTAGCTGATGTTAACGGCGAGATAATAATAATAATAATAATAATAATATAGCATAATAACATAATATAGAGCTCAAACTGGTTCACTCAGCATTCCAATACTAACTTTTTATAAAACATCCTTCGTAAAAAGCTGAGCTAAATCTGCTCTGCTCTGAAGAAAATGGGACTTTTTTTCACATTAATGTGCTTTACACTTAATTAAAACCTCGAGGCATACCTGAACTCACTCCAAGGTACACCATAGCACATTTTAGAGCTTTTACACTCCATTACTTCTCTGGGAAGGAACCAGATTGCCTAAAAAAATGCATTTTTTAAGAGTTTTTTCACATGAACGATCCACATATGATTCTAAACCCTGCCCATCTTGCAAGTGAGGCAGATAAAATGGTACAAAATGAATCTCTACACAGCTGAAGCTGTTTTGATTTTTCAGCATAGATGACAATAGTATGCATCCAGACATTTAAAAAGTTCCAAGGACAGAAAAAAAAGGAATAGAAAACATAGGCTTTAAAACCACAGAGTCGTAGCACGTTGGCATATCCTGCCCCTCCAACTACACCATGAACTGGGTGTATCCCTCAGCTCCTGTGACGATCACATCCATCCAGATCCTCATGGCCTCAGGAGAGGGAGCAACCATGTAGTAGACTCTGTCATGAGTCTTTACACTGAAGGTCAGGGAGGGGTTTGGGCTCTGAGGGAGAGGAAGGAGAAACAGGAACAGAAGGAAAAAGTAAGAGGAAGAGATATCTAAATTAGAAGACAATAAATCACTTTTCAAGACGGGACTTATTTGCATCTCGTGTAGAAACATAATGCAGGACATACTGTAGATGTAAACACATACCTTGTGTGCATTCTTTAAGTGATCATAATACACTTCTTCAATAGCTTGGAAGTAGATGACTCCTTTCAGCTTGGCTTCGTGCTTGTCTGAAGAAGAAAAAACAGTAGCTATAACATATACATTAAATGTATAAATACAAATGTGTGACAATGGGCTGTATCATGTTCAATTTTAGTTCTATTTATTGATTTGTATTTTAAATGGGGGTGGTGATGGGGCAATGGATAAGATGCCTGCCTATGGTGTGAGAGACCCAGGTTCAATCCCCCTCTGTAACCCATCCCTGAGCAAGACACTTAACCCCTCGTTGCTCCAGAGGTGTGCAACCTCTGACATGTATACCAATTGTAAGTTGCTTTGGATAAAAGTGTCAGCTAAATGAGTAAATGTGTGTAAAATATACAAAATATTAATTACACTTAAATATACTGTATATGTAAAATACCTGTGTATGTAACTCCATTTATGTGGATGCTGCATACACATATTCCATGTTGTCTGGGTATTTGTATCAGTGCTTATGTGGTAGATTTTGTGCATCTTCTGCCCTACCTGCATAGTAGGAGAGTGTGCGTCGGTTGCGGTCAAAGACGAACCAGCGCTTCTTCCAGGTTTTGATTTTGCCTCCCATTTTGACCAAGTAGCCACGGCAGGTCTTTTCAGAGATGGACAAGTGGAAGCATGTGTCTGTGCTGTGGCCTGCCGACTCAATGTGAGCCCGCAGGTCAAAATCGTCCTTTCGCACCGGCAGGTACCGTGTTAGTGGCCGGGACTGGAGGGAAAAGAGTGAAAGGGTTTACTGAAAAAGAGAGGTTCAAGTAATGGCTTTGTCGTATTTATGATTTGTTTTGCATTTATTTAATTCATAAGAATCATGCAGATGTACATCATATGTTAAGAGTGATTAAAGTACAAGATTCTTCCTTCTGTTGCCAACAGTCGATGGTTCAGGCAAAAGAACAAAAGATGAAGGAAGAAGCAAACCAAGAACTGTAAGCAGAGACGTGATTGAAACCATACAGAAAGAAGGAAGCATGCATAAAAAGGTGACATCAAGTTCAAAGTAATCTTTTGGGTAAAAATGACAGCATGAGAAACCTCTCTTTCTGTTGAGAAAAAGCTTTACTGGTTGCAACAAGGTTCAAACAGGTGATTAAAGAACGTGCTGTACCAAATAACCGCATATTGAGAAACACTGCAGCTACTTCCCTATTGTGAATGAACATTTCTGAGTGGAACACACATCTTTTATGCTCCCGTCTTGTTTTTCTTTCCTACCTGTGCCCTCTGTTTCTCTCGCAGTTTCACCTCACGGTCGATGAGTTTCTGGCGTCTGTTCGTCTCCTCTTGTAGCCTTTTCTCCAGGTCCTCCCTTCTTCTCCTTTCCTCCTCCAGTGCCTGCTTCCGCATGTCCATCTCTCGCTCCTGAGGAATCATTTAAATTGTTGCAACGTTTTCAAACACACACACACACACACACACACTTAAAGTCTCTGTGTCTTTAGGTTTCGGGATTTATCACAAAGGCAAACCAAGGGTCATCATTAGTGCTTTTATATATTTGGCCCATGTCTACCATTAACAAGCTGTAAAACAGTGAAAACAAAAGGATAAAATCAGTGTGATTCTGATTTTGTCTCATGCTGACCTTGTGTTCGAGGAGGCTTTTCCTCTCTGCCTGGGCTTCTCTCAGCAGACGCTCCATCTCCTCTAGCTTGGCCACATTTGAAGTACTGGCACTGCAGCGCATGCACACACACACACACACACACACACACACACACACACATCAGACAACAACTTTTTTTCTCTCTGTACAATAAACCACTTGGCATACAGTCAACACCAAATCAACTGTCAGGTGGTTGAACCTGAAACACACTGAAAATGTGATGAAACAGAGCGGCTGCCAAGTTAATCAATTAAACCTGCTACAACAGCAGTCAGCGTGACAAAGTGAATCCATTCAGACTTTTCCACATGTTTTTTCAGGTGTTACATAATTTCAGAGATTAGGTTAGTGCCAGTTAGTGGATGTACATATATATTTAGCTTTGTATCAAAGCTATCGCTGAGAAGGTGGAGTATATAGTCTTGATTCAAAATATAGTGGAGAAGACATGGCTTAAAGTGTTCTGTTTAGCATTCCAACATAAAGGCTTCACTCTCCTGAGAATACTCCCGATTATTCACTATTTATCTGTGTCTGTGTGTGTGTTTGTGTGTGTGTGTGGATACTCTTAAAAAATATGGGAGATTTTATTAATATTTGTAACCACCAGAAAACAATCCACAAATGTGTACTATGATGCGCAAATATTTCACTATCTATAAATATGTGTTTTTACATTTGTAATGTGAAAATTCATATTCACAAAAATACAGAGTGACTTCTACACACTAAACAGTTTTTGCACATTTGCAAATTGCTTTCTGTCAGTTTGTGGGTTATGTTACATTTGTAACTTCCTTTTTACAAATTTTTTGAATTTTGTCCAATGTGTAGTGCGGAGATCTGTAAAAAAAAAAAAAAAAAAAAAAAAAAAATATATACACACATATACACACACACACACACACATTTGAAAGTACTGTTGTACCTACTGTTTGTAGGAGCTATTGTAAACTCTATGTATAAGGTTACGGTCTTCAAAAGTACAGTCAATGTCCATTTTGCATGAAAACCTGTATTTTTTGTAAAGCTCATGAGTAGGGTTTACATGACACCTCAACACTGGAGATCTATCTTGGGGTGCCGTTTCCAACCAACCTAAGACTGACATTACTGGGGGACCTCTTAGACAACATGAGGGGCAATGTACACTTTATCAGACTAGCCCTATTGCAGCTAATAATTGAATAGCCATTCACTGGACCACGGGTAATAAAAAGTAAATTTATGTCAATTGTGTCATTTAGGTTGATGTGAAAATTTGAATACCACTCAAGATTTGGGTAAACCACAGAAAGACTGAATGCAAGGCAAGAGAATAAATATACTACTGTGTACCTAATGCTTTGTCCTGTCAGTGTGTATATCTTGCAAGTTTCATCTTTCTCCTTTTTTGCCCATATGGACTTGGTTTATTAACACTGTTTGTACTGATTACATTTGACCTTTTTGTGGGGAAGAAAGAAATAGAAATAAAAAGTAATCTTTTTAATAATTTCACGTCAAAAGATGTTATAAATTAATTGAAATGCAGTATTCCTGATTGGGCTTTATAGAATACATAACTTCTCTGCTTTTCATATACTTTTACAAAGCTTTGTTTCACAGCTCTGACAGGAAGGTGTAACATATTACTACAAACACAATTTTCAGGCTTATATTTATCTAAATATAAATGTAAACAGTGATAAAGTATTCAATAGTAAACTATATACACTAGTACAGAAAAATTTAGACTGCGGAGAGTCGAGTGGTCCAGCAGAAGCAGAAGTTGTTGTCTCCTACAGATGACCTTGGGTACTGCAATGGATATTCTTACAACTCATGAGAGGCAATGTCGCTACTGCCACCTGCTGGTGTAGCTAATGAACCGATCTCACATTTACAGATCTCTGTTTACAGATCACTGTGGTACAGAGTGGAAAACATTTCACAAATGCATAAAAAGGAAGTCACAAATGTAACATGACCTGCAAATTGACATGAAATGATCCGCAAATGTGCAAAAACTGTTTGGTGTGTAAAAATAGATCCACAAATGCGTAAATAATTTGTATGTGAAATTAAAATATGTGTGTACAGAGTAAATTGTACATATTTGCAAATTGCACTGTATTTTTGTGGATATGATTTTACACAACACAAATGTAAAAATACACGTTTTGGGTAGTGAGATATTTGTGTATACTTTTTTTTTTTTCTCAGATCCCCGCAGTACACATTGGACAACATTCCACAAATATGTAAAAAGGAAGTTACAAATGTAACATGACCCACAAATTGACAGAAAGCTATTTGCAAATGTGCAAAAACTGTTTAGTGTGTAGAAGTCACTCTGTATTTTTGTGGATATGATTTTACACATCACAAATGTAAAAATACATATTTGTAGATAGTGAAATATTTGCGCATCATAGTACACATTTGTGGATTGTTTTCTGTGGGTTACAAATATTAAAGTCCAATAAAATTTTCCATAAAAAAAGACCATTAGGAAAGGCAAACTAAAAATCAGACCATCTCTCTATAGAACTTTCTGTCTCTCTGCTGTACCACTGTCAAAGGTTTTCAGTTTAGAACAGCAGGCCTAGTCCAGCTTCAGGTTTCCCAGAGTGCAGATGGTCTACACATGACACGCATGATTGACTGACATCACAGGGAAGGGACTTGTTTGTACGTTTGTCATGTTTCTCTCTCTCTCTGCCTCTGACATGCAAACACACAAATTCTCTCTTATCCGGAGCCAGAAGGAAATGGATACCCACTGTTAATCTGTGATGATGTTACAACATTGTTTTGATGAATGGTACGCATTAGACTCAGCCTAAACAAATCAGGAAGGAAGGGAGAGAGAAGCGCGAGAGAGAAGCAGAATGGTAATCGAAAAGAGAAAAAATGATTGGGGGGGGTTGAAAAGATGAAGAAAAAGCAAGCGCAAGCAGAGAAAAAAAATGCTTTCCCGCTCTCTGGTTTTTTATTTTTTCAAAATCATTTGACAGTTTCATGTAAAATCATCAACACAGCTCTTACTCTATAATCGGCCAAAGTTTTAACTGAATACCGCCAATTTACATAACAGGGAATTTTTGATGAATAATAATAATTGATTGTTAAAAACTTGCTAAAAACTTACTAGGTAGTTAACGCCAACTATAATTCACATTGTATGCCATATTTTTGACCAGTACTTGCATCAAGACTCCAACTAATCTAACATCACACATCCCTTTCCCTGTCATTACTCGCATAAACATTAATCCAAACTCATTGTAGCATCCATCCTTTCTTCCCTTCCTCACACCCCCTTGCCATTCTCTTACCTCAATCGATGAGAGGGAATCGCACGCATAGTCATTGTAGACTAACCCAGTTCAAATCTATTTATTAGCCTGTTTGGATTACTTGAGAAGAAATGTATTTATCTTCCATCTCCAGAAAATGGGACATATCACAGACATGAGAAAAAAATCCTGTTCTATTATAAATCGACTTTTTTTATCCCGCACTGATCCAGATTCCACCGCACACGTCTGCCAGTCCAATCTAAGCCGGTACAACACAGACCAACTGGGACCATACTGAGGATCAGAGGCACCCTGTTCCAGGAACACTTGCAATGCATAGAGGTCAATCTGCAAATGTTTCGTGACTGTGAAAAATCTATCTGCAGAAACGAGGCTGTACCGATCATACCATTCAGAGAAACAAGAGGAGGGGAGACAAAAGACAGATGCAACCAATGGAAAAAGGAGAGAAGGAGAACAGGCACACATGGTTTTAGTCTAGACCCCCAAATGTACCTCCACACTCGTACTCGTTAGCTCAGTTCATCTGAACCCGAGGGGGTTGACGGTGAACACACACACACACACACACACACACACTTTTCCGTCTTCCGTAACCTGACCCTTAAAACACTAATCAAGAGTCCCCCTTAACTCATATAACACACGCACACAGTTCTACACATCTTATTCTCCAAGGAGGCGACCATGAAAGGCGGGAAAAACCTCCACTTTGCAGCTTCACACATTTTTTTCATTAACTCACTCTATTCTTTCTTTGTTGCCCCCCTCCCATCCCCGCCCACAGTCAGTGTTTCATATTATGAACACAATGGGACATATTTGTGTCTCTGAGTTTTCAACTGTCTGCCTCCTGTCATATTTCAACCTTTCAACGTTTCTGTCATTTCCATCGTTCTTGGTCTGTCAGTTTTCCCACAGTCCTTCCTTCAAATCATTCTAAGATGACTGATGAAAGTAGCGGTGAGAAATGTTGATCGGCACATACTTTTCGGTTTTCAAGCTGAACACAATCTACGCTTCAGTCAGAAACACACACCACTTCAGGCTTCTTTTTTGTTTCTGCTACTTGCATTAATATCCACAGACACAAACGACACTAGCTGGGGACACGTACCTGGAGACATTGTCAGGTGAACAAGCAGAGATGCTGGTTTCAATGGAGTCGCTACTATCCACACTCATTGTGTCAAAGGCCTGGTTGTCATGGTACCCAAAGGCATCGAGGTAGATGTTGGTCTGGGAAGCTGCTCGGGAGCCAGTCTGACCTGGAAACACACAGAAGAGAAAACAACTTCAGTAAAGACTAGCACTGCTTATTCTTCTTCTGCATGCATGCTCACTTGTGTTGTACCTGTCTGTGTCACTCCATCTGGGCCATCAGATTGCCCAGATGGCTTTGATGTAGGATTGCAATGCCCCGCCACTGTGAGATGCTCTTATACGTTCAGTGAAAAACAAATCCACACCTTATTGGTGTAACTAGTCTTGTTAAATATGTGTCCAAATAGAAGCTCTCACAAAAAACATCTACAACACGAGTACAAAAGAGTTCTAAACGTAGTTTCGGCAGTCGAACGAGGTCTGAGAAGAAAATGAGATGTCCTCAGAAGCTGAAAGAGGAATGTTTGCAAAATTATGTTGCAGATACTTAAAAGAGAGACTAACTCTACCCTGTGGGTACAGGAAGAAACAGAAAAAAAACCTGATACCATCTGCCCCATGTAGCAGTCCCACCCATCTGATGAGCCAGATCAAGGGACCAAAGGGACTGAGGGACCAGATGCACATGCCAATTTTTTTGGATATCTACTTTGTAAACGTGCAGCTATGAATGTCATCTTTGAAAGATCAAAACTTATCTTTCATTTAAAACCTAACATGGAAAATGGGCACGGTGTCCTTGAGGTAACAGACCGTCCTTAATCTTTCAGCAGCTAAATCTGCTATCAAAACCACATGTCATCAAACACCCAAACAAAGGGCAAAAGGATTATACTCTGTAGAGTGAACAGCAGATTGTCTTAATGATGGGAAATGGCTGGTTAACATTTGAGGTAGGATGTTGACTGTTGAGAAATCTACTTCTAAGCAGTTACAAACTAACATATCAATTTTCAAAAATGTTCGTACTCAGACCAGAACCTCTGCTGAATACTCACAGAAACAACACTCTACACCACATTTTCATTTCTGCACTTTCCCCTCTGAGAGATAAAAAAATAAGAAAGTTTGTAATCCAACAAAACACAATGAGGTGCACACCCACACACTAAACCTCTAATAAGGAAAAATGTTATAAGGTGTATTTTCATGCGAGTGCTTGTGCGAGTGAAGGAGACACAAATAAGAGAGCAAACAGACAGACACAGATAGCCTTTGTAAGTGAAGTTACGGTACATGTATCTCCATGTATTTGTTTACCAACATGTACTGTCTTTATCCTTATATATGGTTTCTAAGTGTGTTTGTTCATGTGTGAGCAGATGGGTGTTGTGCATGTGAGTGTGTGTACCTTTATGCAGACGTCGAGATTCAGTTTCCTTGTTGGATAAGGAGAGAATTCTTGGAAGAATGCTGCCACAACTTGTGCTCTGTACCAGGGGCTGATGGGACTATAAACAACCAAGAAGAAACATTTTTACTTCCTTGTTTTAGTAATTCAAACAAATCTGGCATCTTCAAAATTACACAATACAAATGAATGTTGAATTTGGGGAAATAATATATAGATAGACCAATGACGGACATTAAATGATTTGCACTGATTTCCGATATTTACATCTACGTGTGTGCACCTTGTTAGGGAAGCTGCGTCCCAGCGTTGCACACGTGAACTGGGGGTTCATGGTGGGTGTGGTTTTCTTCCTGGGTAATGTGTCACTTAGATGGGAGCCGCCTTCTCTGTCAGACCTCTTCCTCTCCTCCAGCAAACGGAAATGCTGATCAAACACACATACACACACGCGCGCGCACACACACACACACCCCAACAGAGGGTAGGGGATGTAAATTACATTGTTAATTGATTATCAACTAACATTTATCTTATCTGATTAATTTGTCAAAATGATCCAATTTCATATTAGGTCATAACATGACATTGTCCCACTCTTTTTAAAAGAAAATGTAATGACTTAAAAGTATTACGTATTATAAAAAAATACACTGTGGCAAAACACATCCGTACTGATTAATTTGCCTTTTCATTTAGACTGATACAATCTAAATGCGATTAAAAATCTTGATCAACATTGTTAATTGTGCACTACAACTGCATTTACTGCAATTATTTATTAAAATCAACATTAATCAATCAAAGTCATTTTGTAAAATGTGAATCTGGTTTCTACACAATGTGTTTGCCACATAAAACCAGACAAACACACAGTTGCAGATACGCAAACACAAACACACACACAAACACACATTACCTGCCTGTGTCGGTGTTTTTTGACAGGAAGGGGAGGCGGGGGAGAGTCAGGGAGGGGAGAGGGGTCGCGATATGACACCATGTTCTCTGGCCAATGCACAGAGGGTGTTTTGGGGAGGGGGCGGGAATTCAGATGGGAGGAGGAAGAAGAGGAGGAAGAGGAGTGACAGTCGGAGGGTGAGGAAGAATGACAGAGCTTTAAAAAGAAGAGAGGAAAATTGTCAGAAATCTGAAATAGTGGAAAAGAAGGAGAGAAATTATGGGGAAAAATAACCACACCCTTAAACACACACACGCTTTACATCAAATCTGGGTGCTAAACTACACACGCAAGCCCTTGACACCACTGCACACACCTCATCCTCCTGTGGTTTAGGGAGGTCGCCGTCAGGGGAGGGGTTTGCCTCGGACACAGGAGAGACAGTGGCCAGAGTGGGGGTAGGGGCGGGTTTAGGATCCCCCCCAAGCTGTGAGTAAAGCTCATTGATTTCACTGACTGTGACATAGCCCTGGAAAATGTCATGTGGAGAAATGGGGGAGAGAGAAGGGGTGAGGCATAGCATGATGTGAGTATTAAGATGTTGCCAATTAGTTGTTAGAATGAGGCAGAATTTGCTGTCGATTTTAAAAGTTTTGAAGGAAAAATAGAACAAAAAGTCTTTTCACTTAGAAACAAGGGGCTTAGACACTGTACTGTTAACATTTACTGAGTGGAGTACACAAGACAAAAACATTCTTACAAGATTATTGCATTATTAATATATGTCAGTATAAGCTGTGCATAGAATTCAAGAAATAAGCTCAAATCAGCTCAAAACTGGCAGAAAAACTGAAAGGGGAAAAAGAAGCAACCAGAGGGAGAGGAGGAATGAAGGACAGGAAGGAAGAATGACATGGATTTAAACAAACTATCTGGACAAAGAGGGAAACAGAAAGGGATATATTAGTAAAACAAAAGTACCTCAGTATTCTTGAGAAAAATAGAGGGAAGGAAGGATGAGAGGGAACACAAGTTGACTGGAGGAGGAGAAATTGGGGCAGAAGTGGTGTGACAGCAACGGTCACTAAAAGACTGACACACATCAGCCAGAGAGGCTGTGTCCTAGCAAGCAGAGAAGGAAACCCCAACGATTAAAAAGCCATGTCCGCCTTAAGAGTCTTAATGAGTTCAAAGACGAGGACAGTTCTAATTTTCTTGTCTGACAGCTGTCAAACCTACCTCTCTTAGAGTGAAACCCCGGCCACCAGTGAGGTCAGCATATTTTCTTTCCAACCTGGTGAGGTTTTCTTTCTCCTAACAGACAGAATAAGGAACAAAGGAAATAGAAGGCAACGTTAAAAACAAAACAAACCTCTTCTTGATGGGTTTATATTTCCATTCATACACAAGGAACATAGACATTCTCGTACCCTTTGCAGCATTGCTTCGAGGTTGCTCCTCTCCTTCAAGAAGCTCTCCTTCTCTCTCTGAGCCTGATGGGTAATCTGTACTGCCTGCTTTTTCAGAGTTAACAGTCGCTCCTGAAGGAAAAGCAAAACAAGCTTGATACGTGTTTCAAGCTCGCATGACACTAATGCCCAAGCTACTAAATGAAATAAGTTTGCATGCCTTTAAACCATTAAAAACAGAGATTCAACTCAAGCAGCAGAACAAATAGGGATTTTTCACCATGAACCAGTACTTCTCAGAAAAGGCTCTACATATTTTTTTTTAAATCATAATATAAAAATGTAATATTGTACTGTTTACATTTTCCCCCAAACAGATAGCTGTTACCTTGCGAGTGACAGTGCTCCGCTGGTAGTCTGCGATATCCCGGAGAAGCCGCTGCGTATGGGTCTCCTTCTCCTCGTCCTGCCTGCTCTCGCTCTCCAGCTGCTGGAACTCCAGGTCCTCAAAACGCTTCGTCTCCGCCTCGAGCACCTCACAGTCCTGACACAAACACACACAAGAAATAATGCACAGGTAAACAGGCGGGTCAAAAAAAGCATTTATACAGGACAAAAGTAGCTGCACATCCTTATATAGTACATACACTCGAGAAAACATGCAAGATGCAGATGAACGTAAACAAAAAACTACCTGTAAACAAGACCAAAGGACATGTACTCACAAAATTCACAGGGGATGTTTGGCAGTTAAATGCGTGCAAATACATCAGTGTAATAAAATGCTGAACACTTGACTGATTGATCCTTTATCAATCAATTAACTAAACAAACAATTCAAATAAATGATCTAATAGATCCTGTGTTCATGGAGGTGTTCATAAACAACCTGACATGGAAAAAACTGAAGCTAATGTGAAAATTGCTTACCATATTGATTGTTATGAAACTGCTTTGAGATAAACAGAAATATGCACGAAATTATGTATCAAAAATCACTTTTTCATCCAACAATACACTGACAAAGACAAAGCAAACCACACACACAGATCCCTGATGGTTCAACAGTCATGCAGACTAGTGCACCAAAGCATAACCAGTGTATGTGTAAACATGCATAATGTTGCATCCTTTAAGCATTCCCCCAAATACAGATGATGTGGGAAGGAGGGCAAATTAGCAAAGGAAAGAAAATGTGTGCATGTTCACATGCACGTCCAAGTATGCGAGGATCACGTGTATCTGTCTATGTGAGTCTGTTCATGTTTACACCTATCCAAATACCCGTTTTGAGGGTCAAAGTGCATATGTGCACATATATCTGCTTTTGTTCTGGCTCTCTTCTATCAGTGTATGCATGCACGGCTATTGCATGTTGAGTGTTCTTACTTCTCCGCTCGTCTATGTGTTCTATTTGGTCTGTATGGATGGATCCATTGGTTTACACACTCATGTACATATTTTCCTGTGCGTGTGTTTGTGAGGTGTGTGTGTGTGTATGTGTGTGTGTGTACTGACCCTGGCCAACTGCTCCTGCAGGGGCTCCTTGGTGGCCTCAGGGCAGCTGTCCAGCTGGGAGCGCTGCTCACATACAATCTGAGCCAACCTCTCTACTCTGCCCCTTTCTGCCTGCAGCAACTCGCATGCCTGGCATACATACACACACACACACACACACACACACACACACACACACACACACACACACGTACATACATGCCCGCACAAACACACATTCACGCATGTACACATTTGTTAATGTGTACATATACACAAAGAGACACACATGCACACGCACACACACAGGACAGAGAGAGGATGGCAGCGTTAGTGGGACTGGGGAGCCACAGTTAGTCACTACGGCGACCATGTTGGCATGATTAGCCTAGGGGACGTAGGGAGGGAAAGCTGGAGAAAAAAATCAACAAAAGGGATGGAGAACTGGGGTGGGAATTGAGTAGAAATGAAGGCATGAAGGTAGTAGGAACAGCGTCATGAGTTCTATCTCTCCCACATTTATTTGTCTGTTTGTTTGAATGGAAATGATTGAGGGAATGAGTAAGAAGAAGGAATGGCTCAGCAGATGTAATGGTCCTCTCATTAAGTACCACAACATATACAGGCGTCCAAAATCAAGCACTCAACTTCACTTACTCTTCAACAGAAGTTCAACAATACTTATCTATCTCATCGTTCAGTCTCTCTCTGCCTCAGTATCACCATGTGATTTTATCCTGTACAATATCTACCGACTGTGGAGTCCATGGAAATTTCAAAATCCGGCTAGGACTCAATCCAACAGAGGTGCACACAAACACACACAACAAATTCAATCTGCTTATCCACCTACACATCCCACTCTGTCAATGATATCATTTATTGGTATACATGTAGACACACACGCACACACGCACACACACACACACACACACACACACACGCTTACCCACACCCAGGACTGTCACACAGGAGTGTGTGTAAGATAGGATCACTTGGTGACCGCTCTTCCCTGGGCTGCATTAACACATATATATTTGGACCAGAGATAGCATGAGGGGGATAAACACCTACCAGTTAGTCACATGACCCCTAAATGTACAAGGTCTCAGATGAGCGTATGTATTTTCTATCCCGCACGCACATAGACACCTTGGGAAGGGAAATACGTGTCTGGTTGAAATCCAAGTTTAGTGTACACATTTCAAGATGATATAGTAAGAAAAAACATTTTTTTACATTAGTTACAGTACTTGCCCTATACTAATGTCGCTTTCCAGACCCTCAGCAAAGACATTCAAACAATTTGCTGAAGATGTATCATTGAACACTTTAGTATGTGGAGTAATGCTCTCTGCATTTCAACTGTCCTCTCATCTCTCATGGGCTCTTGTTCTGCGTCAGCCGTTATAAATTTCCCAGAAGTTTCCCTCGCGCTCACATTGTTTTACAATGAAGCGTAGCCTGTTAAATACCTTTTCTTTTTCCTGCTGGGACTTGGTCTCCAGTTCAGCCATCTTGTTGTGAAGTCCTTCCAGAGCATCTTTTTCCTGCTGTAGGGCAGCTACCTCCGACTCCATCTCAGCCTCCACCAGAGCTTGCTCAACTTCCACCTTGGATAAAAACACACCAATAAGTAAGCCATTTGTAGTGATTGTGGTCTCTTTTGTGAGTTCTTTTTCTGAACAGAAGAGATTTTAAATCCCTAATTTATACTTACTTTATTAAATACTTTGCATAACACTACCTATTAATGTGTTACTGAACTGAAAATAAGTAGAATTCTTCACTTCTCTTTAAAAATAAGACCTCTAGATTAACATTAAACAATGAATTGTTAAAACGGCAACATTTTTGCGGCTGTGTCTGTCTGTCCAAAACACTATCGTCCCTCTCTTTGTCTTCTCTTTGTCTTCTCTTTGTCTTCTCTTTACCTCTCGGGCAGATTCGTCCATTTGGTTGTCCAGCTCTTTGATCTTTTGTTCCAGCTCCTCCATGTTGTTCAGCACCTGGATCCTCTCCTCTTCCACTCGCCTCACTTCCTCCTCTGAAGGCCTCACCTCCTGTCCGCGGCGACGAGCTGCATCATCTAGAGCCTGATAACAACATCATCAACAGACTCACAGATTGAACCATTGTTCTTCTTAATATTGGGGATTCCTGGTAAGTAGTTGTAATACTAATCACTGACACCACCAGTTCAATAATGTGGTGGCATGAAGTGAAAATAAGTGTACCAACAGTACTTTTAATTTTACCATATTCAATGAAAAAAACATTAAATCTTGTATTAAAGCTAAATAATAGCATTGACAGTGCTTAAAACTGTGGTGAAAATTTATGCTCTTTTACAGCAGAAAAATGTGAGCAGATACAAGCACACATACACCCACAAACACCAGCTGTCAATTTCAAATGGTAACACTTAGCCTACTCTAATCTAATGAATGGGCTGTAAATATCTCCCATCTGTGTATGTGAGGGATGTGTATGTTGATACTTTCCAAGTATTAAGAGGAGTGATCCTTGTCACTCTCATGTTTTCCAGAAAGAACAGGGAGTATAAACCCACATTAATCCTTATTAACCTTTGAAGAAGCAATGTCAAAGGTGCTACTTTAGCAGTCTTGTGCTCTTTTCATACAGGAGATGTGTATGATGCTGAATGTACATTCAACATGCATTTGAACCACTCAAAACAGACTGTTGTTAGGGGATAATCTCTATTCACAGGGACTCCAGTCGGCAACTGTAGATCCATACACGTTACTGCTTAACCATAGAATTGACAATATAAAAAGTTTAACTTCTCTCTTATTCACCAATTTCTGCACTCCTAGGTCTCTCTCTTGCTTTTAAATGAGTCAGGTGGTATGTTGAAATTTACTTAATCGATCAATGACATTAAATTACATTCCTAACCCTAAATGAAACGCCTGTTCAGAAGTGCATGTGCAGCATGTTCAGTCCTTGTCAGGAGGAGGACCATGGTGCTGGTGTGAGAAGGTTATTGTTGAAGGTGGGTGATGAGTTGACACTCTACACACTACACATTCATTCATTCATTAAAAAAATATAAAAAAAAAAAAAAAGACTCAGAGTTCATGTATGTTTTATACATCTCTGTGCATTTAAATGTGGTAAAGTGACTCTGAGTCTGAAAATAACAAACCCATCTCCATGCTCCATGTGCACAAATCTCTTGTACCTCATTGGTCCTCTGTGTGCGTGGAGAAGGTGAGGGGGCGAAGCTTCGCAGGCTGATAGCGGGGGATTCTGCCCGACTGTCTCGGTGGCCGCTGCTGCGCCTCCGTCGTACCTGTAGATCATCATCATAGTAACCATTCTCTGATCCAGGGAAGGCCATGTGTCCATTCCCTGTCATTCCATTAACAGCTGAAGAGTCCGAAAAGACAGATCGGCAGTCGTCATCGTTGTCGTTCAGTTGAAGCTTCTCAAGCTCCTGGTTGATCTTTTGAAGATCTGCCACGGCTGAGATGGGACTTGTAGCTGTGCCACCTCCATCTCTCTCAGGCCGGCCCAGCTCTGAACACAGAGACAAGATGGTCTCTAGTCGCTGACGCTCCTGCAATGAGCACACACACATATGAGTTAAAGTATGTGCAAATGCAGTGGTGTTAACTCAGTATTAATGTTCTTTATGGTGCCGTCCAGGGTAGGTTTTTAAAAGGGTGTAATTATAAGTGGACATGCCTGAATTTAAGTTGTTTAGTTTTTGTTATTAGCAGGTTTTGATAACTGTACCCTCGTGGTGGCAACCTTAAGCAACAAATGCAAAGTCCCCACCATTTTAGTCTAGTCAAGTCAGTCCACTGCCTCTTAGACACAGCATAGTGTGTTGAGGTGTTACACAAATACAGTATAATATTATTAAATAACACACACTTTTATAAGTAGCACTGAATATTACATTAAAAGGGGAGATATATCAAACAGTGGAGTCATTTCAGACCTTACATACATTTAAGTTATTTTTTTTTTATATATTTCTATTAAAGTCAGATATTAACTATTCAAAACCAGTAAACACAGTTTGTACGTTTTTATACTGATTCTGAAATTGCATTTCTTCATATGCATGCATTGCGTTTTCAAAAGAGTCACAACAGCTCAGCTGATATTTTTTCTTTCCATCATAAAATCAAGTTTCCAGTGCTCAGGTTACCTGGGGAAGCATCGCAGAAGTCCTTAGTTAAAATGTCCTCATTTAGTCCAAAATACACTCCATCGTACCTTGTATGTGATTTACATATCCCAGTTTAGTATATCATTTGCATACTCTTGCAAGAATATTTCCTCTCATTGGGAATCCGTGGAGCAAGAGCTACTCTTTGCACAGTTCTGCCTAACCGGCTATATGGGGATCTACAGAGTCTGCACAGAGTCAAAATACCCCCTCGTAGGTTCAGCAGTGGCTTTTCTGTAGGGAGAAGCATGTAAGCTAGTGTAAGTAAAATTAGAAACGGAAAGAAGGGGGTTAGAAAAAAAGACTGGGACAGAGGTGTGTTTATGTGTTTGTGTGTGTGTGAGTGAGAAAGAGAGAGAGTAAGCTAATGAGAAGGGGGACAGCTGTCAACGATGATCGAAAACGTGCACGAGCACAGACCATGACTCCAAACACAGGAATGTGTCTGTGTGTACTGACACTAGGAAACAAGACACTTTCCAGGGAATTGTCCTCTAGGAAGGAATCTGAACCAGGTGAAGTGTGGACTATGAAAGTCTTGAGACAGTCATCTGCCTGTTTAGAAAGGCTGAAGAGAGGTACCCTATTTGGGAAAAGAAATATAGCACTATATGGACAATATATTTCTTAGTATTTCACCTATTATTTTAGAAAGGAAATGTATGTATTCAAATCAATATCAATAATTAATCACTATACAAATTGTTTACTAGTGAAATGATCTTTTGTATATATGTGCAATGCACACAAAAAAGCTAACACATCCCATTTATAGTGTGTAATGTGAACCAGGAGCTGCGACAAAACAAGCCAGTGTCAGTTTGTCACCTTGTTCTATTCTAATGGACACAAGCCTCTGTGGAGCCCTTACAGTAATCAGCTGTCAACTAGAGAGAGACAGATGGAGAGAAATGGAGAGAACAAGGGCAGTATAGAAGAAAAGATGGGGTGAAAAAAGACAGAAATCCAAAGACAAGAAAATAGTGCAAGGAAATAGAAAGAGAGGAAATAAGTGGGGAAATATGAGCTGCTGTGGACACAGTGGACAAAAAGAGGAGCACTGGAATCAAAGTATTCTAAAATCTCTATCCCGCTGTGCTTTTTTGGCAAAATAAAAAGCATCAAGTCTTTTCTAATGATCATGGCAAATGTTTACCTTGCCTCTCTCTTTCTCCCACTCTGCCTTCCTTTCTTCTTCATGATTACTTTTCGGTGCTCTCTTAGAAAAGCAACCATTACAGTTCTCTTATTAATACTGTAAATTACAAACTATTTACACTAACAAGAAACACAAATTTGCAAAATGCCTACTTGTAAATATGGATTGACAGAATATAATAACCCAAACTTAACCAAACCTCACCAAATGCATTTAAGATGTCCTTCCTAAATGACAAAATGGGTAATCGTGTTAACTATTGTTTTTGTGTTTCTCTTCCTTTTGTTGCAGGTAACGTCCCCAAATAGCCGTTAATCACATAACCTAATAACATCTAAGCATGGATAGAATGCAGATTTCCTTTACTACCAATAGAGGGCAGACAAAGTTAAGACAATGCTTTTCAGAGCTTGAGCCTTGGATTGCTAGAAGCTCCTTACAATGCCCAGCTAAAAGCAGTTCATCGTTTTATTATTATTATTCAGAGCTATTATTAAAAACATATAAAAATAATAATCATTGTGACAGTTACTACCTCATCCTCATTCTATATGCCTATAACAGGAGGCTGCAATCTTTTACATCATGGCACAAACTTAAAAGAATTGGATATAAATCGAACTACAAATGCAACACTGCTGGGGTTATATAAATGTTCCATCTTGATATGGGCCAAATAACAAATTGGCTCTCTAATCAGAGCAGAGAGGGGATGGTCCACAATATTCCATCTTGCAAATATGGATATATTACCATCCAAAATATCTGAAGGCCAGCTAAAAAGCTTGTGAAACAGTTAATTTCTCACAGTTAAAGAGGCATTTAAGCTATTTAAGAATATGGTTGTGTGAAAGAGAGAGACAAATAAAGAGAGGAGGATAGTGGGATAATGAGTCCAGCGGTCATTATATGTTGAGCATCTGTGTGTTTATCCACCTGCTACACTACAGCTACACTATAACTCTGCTCTCTAATCTTCTTGGTTTCTCTAACCCACATTTGACTGATGTGTTCTGTGGCTCTTCAGTGGTCCGAACCACACTGGGCGGACCTCCAGCTGACTGACATAAACACGCACCATACATACACAACGCGCACACAGCACAGGCTTAAGAATAGTGCTGTTAGTATGGGCTAACTGCCAGCATATGGTGAACCTCACTTTAAGTATGTGTGTGTGTGTGTGTGTGTGTGTGTGTGTGTGTGTGTGTGTGTTAAGCTCCCTGGGAGAGTATGTTTGAGAGGACAAGGAGGAGGTTAGAGTAAAGGGACGCATTCCTTAAGTCATTCCATTTCTTGCGAGTCTTTGTTTGATTGCATGCAGAACATTAGCAATCTTCCACTGCAAATTTAAACGTGTAACCATGTCTTCTTCCAGCAATCTTAACAGCAATAACATTTGTCATCTGCCCAACAGTCTGCCTATCGGTAAGCTTAAGTAATTTACACATTACACCACAGGATGCGGTCTCTACCACAGGTTTTGCCTACATATCTATATAGTGTTATTTGATCTGAATGACAATATGTTGCCATAACTTAAATTGGCAGATGCTAGGGATGTGAGGTAACGGTCATGTCCTCTGTTTAAACAGAGAAACCCACATGTGCAATCACACTTAAACTCACCAGTCTCTCCACCTCCTGCTCACGGAGTCTCTCCTCTTTTTGCCGATGGTGGTAGTCGGTCAGTTCCTCCTTCCCACTTAATGAGCTGATACTCCCCCTTCTTTCCCTGAAACCCCCTGGTGGGGTCACTCCTGCCTTTCCAAAGGACTGCCTCCTCTCGCCCAGCCCCATCCCAGATTCCAGCCCGGCCTTCCCAAATGAAGACCTCCGCTCTCCAAGTCCAAGCCCTGGGGTACTTGTGAGTTCTAGGCCTACCCCTTGCCTCTCCCTCTCCCCCAAATACAGCTCCATTCCTGGAGAGACCGCATGGCTAGCCAGCCGCTCCACTTCTGGAGGGCTGGAACTTGTGGAGCTAATGGAGCCCACAGAGCTAGTGGAGGTCAGGCTAAGTTTCTTGGCTACACGAGGAGAAGAGGAGCCCCCCGCCTTCGACGGAATGGTCACATCAGGTGGTGCGATTGTGGAAGAGATGGTGGAGGGCAAGTTCTTAGGAGAGGAAAGAGAGATAGACACAACACCTTCTCCTTGAGTTGAGAGCTGGATTGGATTCTTGTTGGAGGAAAGCTGGCTGGAGTTACTATAGTTGTGGTTGAGGTCAGGGCTGGCATTTTGGCTGTTGTTATAATGGTCTTTGCTATATTTGTAACCTCCAGCAACATCGGATCGCCTTGGAGGCAGTGCTGACAAAGTCAGGGCTCCGTTATTGCTGTCACGGGGAGATGAGGAGGGGCAGAGGCGTGGCAGCGAGCGGCTGTGCCCACCTCCCATCATCCCACTCAGTGAGCCTGCTGAATATTTCCTTGTTCGACTGCTGGGCAATGGCTCTTGGTTGCCATAGCTACGGCGGCCAAGACGGGGACTTGAGGGCATGCTGGCTGCACCTCCTGTTGAAGGAGTGCGGGATGAGGAGGAGGGAGGAAGAGAGAGGAGGAAGCTATTGCTACCATCAACAGACATGGAGGAGCCTCCACCATTCCATGTGGACAATATAGGAGAGGAGCCCAGGTTGTGCAGCCGACGGCTATCGCTAACGCCGAAGTTGTCCTGGTTGCGAGTGATAGAGGTGCGGGAGCCCAGAGAGGAAGATGGGTCGGATCGTCGTCCGGGGGAAGGAGGGGGAGCAGACTTCAAAGACATGGGCGGGCGATCTGACCCATAGAAACGCCTTGCCTGTTCCTGATAGGATGATGAGGCTGATGAGGATGTGGCAGGACTTGTGATTGGTGTAGTTGGGGGAGACTAAGACAAAGAATGGCAAAAATATGTGATTATTGGAAATAATTAAAAATACAATTTCACTGCAATATTTAATGCATATAAAATATGAAGAAATATGAAGGTAGATGAAGAAACAGAAACATCCACATAACATAATGGTGGGGCTTTAGTATATGAGCAGTCCTCCACTCAAGCCTTGAAAATATTGTGTTGCCAGCTGAACACTGTAGCAGAGCTAGAGGATAATGGGTAAGCCCTGGTTAACCATGTTTGGTCTTGTAAACAATGAGTCAACCCTGATTAGTCCTGTTTAGCTCAAGACAAACATCCAGGCTAACCATACAGACACTACAAGCCTTGTTAGAGCATGACATAGAATGCAGAATAAGAAATCATGAATTGGAGCTAAATGATGGCTGACCTGTGTCATGCTGAGATAGGAGGGGTTAGCATTCCCGTTGGCTCTCAGGCTGTTCTCCAAGGCAATCTTCTTGCGCTGCAGGGTGTCCATTAAGTCCCGCAGCTCGGAGGCTGATCGCATACCCCTAGCGCTGCTTGTGCCGCCCACCACCGCATGGCTATAGTCACTGCTAAACTTCAGGTAGTCTGGAGGTGGGAGAGAGATGAAATGGAAAATAAATTAAATGATACACAAAGGTGAACATTCATGGGTAAGAAAAACATGGTGATATGAATGAGGAAGCAGAGAGGAATATGGAGGGAAAGGACAAACAAGAGAAAAGCGACTGGGATAAGCAATGTAGATGTATGTCGCGATAGAAGGGAGCATGTTTGTGTGTGTATATATATATATATATATATATCTATCAGGGCTGCACAATACTGGAAAAAACTCACATTGCAATATTTTTCTTTTCTGCGATATATATTGCGATATAAAAAAAATACAGGAAGTTTCATCAGACTACTTCAGTTGCTGTATTTGAAAATAATTAAGCATCTTAAAAGAATTGATCAACTGATCAAGAATAATATTGGGACTGCTGGTTCACTGTACATGAAGAGCCTGCTCGTCACTCATTAGTTACAAACTGTGTTGTCAGTTGTATTATTTTTCTCTATTCTTCTGTTATTCTTACATAACTTGCATTTGTTTATTACATATTTATATATTTCTACATCTATTTATGTCAACTGTATGTCTGTCTGCATGTAGCACCTTAACACCAAAGAAGATTCCTTGTATGTGTAAAGCACTACTTGACAATAAAGCTCCTTCTGATTCTGATCCAAGAACCCTTTAATCGGAGTAAATGATTAGACAAACTTCTCTAATAGATTCGACATGGAAAATGAGAAATGTGCGTTGAGGTTGTTGAGTTAATTTGACTTGCTTGACATTGCACATTTCTGCGATGTGACTATTGCGCAAATATATACACACATACATACATACATACACACACACACACACACACAGATATGATCTCTCTCTCTTTCTCTCTCTCATGCACCTGAAGCTGCAGCTATTCATAGATGAGGCCCTTGGCAGAACAAACTCAACCCAAACAATCCACAACTGGCAGCGAACCTCCATCCAATCAGAATAGGAGTCAACTCAAACACACACACAGCATTTGAAAACCCTCTTGCACAAAACCGTCCATTAGATCCAAGACAAACATCTTAACTCTAACTCGAGTTCAGTTCCTCAAAACAGGATTTTGGGAAATGAAAAAGACCACAGAATATTCAGGAATACCCTCAAGAGGCCCCCGCCCTTCCCAAAGCTTTTTATTTAGAGCTGTTTCAGCAGTGAGGGGGTCTTTTTCCAAACCTCAACTGAGTCAGTTTTTACTCCCTTCCTGCTATGCTTACTAGAACTAGCACTAATTCCACGATTCTGTGCAGAATTTGAAAACTCTCCCTAAATATTATCCATCTGTCATCAAAAGTGCAAGCAAAAACACTTTTGGAGAAAGGTAGGTAGGAGAAAGCAATATGTTAGAAACCTGCCCAGTGTTTTGTTAATTCATCCGTGGCTTTATGTGGAAAAGGAGCTATTACAATGTTCAAGCTTAGACCACCCAATGTTTAACTGTCTCACACGCCCACGCACGAAAGCTTTCCTACAACTGTGGCTCTGCCTGAGAGAAACACACAAATGTATACTTTCCATGTGTGACGGGCGTTTATGTGTTAAAGAATTTAAGTGCAAGAATATTCAACTACTGCTGCGTAGTTGAGTTATATTGTAAGAGAAATTAGAGAAGCTAAAAGTGCACGTCATAGCTTAACATAAGCATGTGTGAGAAAATGTCCAACCTTACATGGTGGAGAGAAATGGGGCAGAAAATTACAGACGTCATGAGATCCAGAAACACACACACACACACACGGATAGACACACATACGCAGGGTGTTTGTGTCCATACAAGGGCAGATTTATACTGAAGGCTTGACGTTCATCAGCTCCCTTCTATCGTGACTATTCTATGCCCCGCGCGTTTTGCTTTCTGTACGAGGCTTCTTCACTTGAGCTGCATGTGTCATAGTGTTTTTTTGGCAACCTGGAAGGTAAAAGGTAAAGATTTTGGCTGCCTGTGATAGCAAATTTGCTAGGTGTGTGTGTAAGATGCAAGTCATTTCTATGAAAACCTCAGAGAAGCTGGGGGAGAGAGGAGTGCATTCCTTGTGTCCAAAAGTTTAAAGAGCAAGGATTCCACTGATTATTGCGCGCACACACACACACACACACACACACACACACACCTTGCTCACAGCCCAATCAATCACAGGAGACAGCAGAGCCCAGCTGTATATCATGTCAATGGAGGGGCACCAGATGACGAAAACATTCCAATATGCTTCAAATTTAAGTTTTAGCATGTGTGTGACAGTGAGAGTTTATATTTAGGAAAGACATATGAGAGGGCTGAGAGAAATACCTGCCCCTACCCTACCTTTCAGTCTTTCCAACACACACACACACACCCACACACACACACACACACACACACACACACACACACACACACACACACACACACACACACATCCCATTCTCACACAGCTGTCTGGGCTGTGTCTACCTGTAACTTTACCCTGAGATCCCTGCTAGGGGATAGGAGCTAATATTTTCACAGGGACAGATGTTACATGAGGAGAATAAGCCGATGAAGAACTACGGGTAGAGAAAATGTGAAAATCAAATAGAATGGATGGAAGAGAGGAAGAAAAGGGAGGGAGGAGGTGGAAGAAGAGATGGTGATGTGGCAGAACAAAGGCACAGAGGAAGAACAAAGACAAAAGGACTGGGATCAAGTGTAGTTCAGGGGTCAGAGAAGGGGTTTCGTTTACCAGACCCCGTGTGAGTGTGTGTGCGTACCTGTGTTGTAGGCTAAAGCGGACACAGGGCTCTTTTGTGGAAGCATGCTCTTCATTCTGCTTGCCTCCTCGGGATGGTTAAACCGGAAGAAATAGGACTTACCCAGACACAGAGAATAACCTGGAGAGAAAACACACAAAGAAATCTTCAATCAGGTACAAGGTAGAATAATGAGAATAGTACAGACTGACTCATGGTGATACTCATCAAAAAGCAACAGCAAGCACGTAACTTTTGACATTCGTCTTAGAGTGGCACAAACATCAGCAACACATTATGTCGCAGAGCACAAAACATACTAGACCATGGTGACACATTAGGCATACATCATACACTGCGCATGAAGAGGAAGCCGTAAGTACAGCTTCAGGTTGGTATGAGCCTAGAATATTTATTCACAGCCTGACACACACTTGCACACGCTCGTGCACAGCAAGCCATTCCAGACCACAGTGTTTGCTCTGGCCATCAATTAGGCTGAGAGGGCCAGGTATTAAACAAGATGTCAGGGTCACAACCTCTGTAATACACACAGCCAGCCACAGCTGTCCAAATACCTCAGAAAGGAAGGGAGAGAGACAGCAGTGCTGCTGACACACACACACACACACACACACACACACACATATAGGGGATCTGATGCAGGGGGAAAAAAAGTTGAAAAAGAAGAGGGAAATGAAATGAGAACATGACACTGATGCACATTTTGAGGAGCAGACAGAAAATCTGATCTTGGAGAGTGACTGGCAAACAAAGCGACCCACTCTCATTTCGTCTGTCTTCTCACATGCACATGCAATCTCCATTCTTTCAACCGCCATCCCTGAGGGTAGAAGGTTCAGATAAGCATTACAGTCAACCCCCACAATGTTAGCATGTGAGCAAAAGGCTAAAAAAAACACCTCCTTAATAGCTCCATAACAGTTACATCAGATTCCTTGGACCTGAAGTCAGACACAACCACTGAGGCAAGAGGGGGATAGCGAGAGGGCGAATGGAAAAAGGCCTAATGGAAAAATGTCCAAATCATTTTCTGTCTTTTCCCACTTCTCATTCTCATCTCCCTTTTGCCCTTTATTTTCTCAGTCTCAACCTAATTAACGCCCGGTCTCACAAACATCTCCACTGACATGTCATGCTAATGGCCAAATTTTACATTATAATTAAGCTAAAAGAGGTCATCTGTCTAGACATTGCCTTAGAGTGCTTGGAGAGCAGATTTATTATTATTTTTTTGCCTTCAAAGCTGTCATCTCCAAGCACAGGAGGAAACCTGATTGTAGTGTTGAGGCGGAGCTAACACCACACACATGAAAACAGTGTTAAGAAATGTTTAGTCTACACAGCTGGACTTGGAACTTCTCAAATACACACTCACGTAAACACAATCCTGCAGGTTTGGGCGCAAACTGTGAAGAAGTGGCATCATGACAGAGAGATCAAAAGATGTGTGTCTTGTGCGTAAAAGGGAGCGAGAGAGAGAGAGACACACACACACACACACACACAAACACAGGTCACCATGAAGGCTAGTGTGAGCATGATCTAATAATATATGTTTCCCATTGCCAGACATGAGTAATGTGTGTGTGCGCATGTCTTCAACATGTTGTGCATGCTCTGTGTGTGTGTGGGAACATGTCATGTAACAGCGTCTGCCTAATGACTCACAGTAACTCTCAGTATTTAACAGCAAACACACAGGCGTGCACACATGCTCACACACACACACACACACACACACACACACACACACACACACACTGCCAGCAGTCAGCTCTTGTAAAAATCTAATTTCCTACCCTCAACAACCTCGCCATGTGCCACCTTTAAAGTGGAGGGTAAAGTGTGTCGCCCTGATTTGTTCACAGCCCCCACCCCTCCCCTCTTTCTCATTTCCTCTCAGGACTCTTTAGCTAACAAATAACTACTAGCTAATCCTCTCCTCCTTCCTATAATCAGCACATACACATACAAGCAGAATGTATGTGTGAGAAAAAGAAACAAATTGAAATTCAGAAGTTTTCTAAAATCTAATGTTTTTACTTCCTCTTACTCTTTCATACACACACACACATACACCTAAATTATTATGGTGAAAATACCTAACTCTTAGTCCTAAAATCAGCGATACAAGGGAACACACAGGATCCCCCACATCCTATCAAAAAACTCTAATCTTAACTGCTTGCACACAAACTAAATGTAAGTCCTAAATAGCGTGCACAAAAACACATGCCCACTCCCCTCTACAAAGACATACCATCCACAATAAAACATGTTTAATCTCATTCACGTGTTTACTTGTTTACCAGCAAATTGCATTTGCCTCCCATGTTGAAGCATGCCTCCCCCTCCCCCAACACACACAGACAGACCCTCTCCAACAACAGCAAAACTGGAAATTAGTCTGTATATACATTTATAGGATAATTTAAAGTTTGTGATCTACAAAGTCAGACCTCAGAGTCTTTGAGGACACAGATGTAGGAGCTGTATCACTTCTGGAGCCAATTTCTGTTCCCATGTAGATCTGAGTGAACCAAACTACACTCTTACCACAATGTTATGGGAGGGGGAAACTCTATTTGGTTTATCTATTTGGTTGACATAAGTGGAGGAATTGCCAAATTGAGACTGGCAGGTTAGAATGAAAAACAAACCAATTACAAAGATCCCATGTCAATGAAACTCACTTATCTGCTACGGGAAAAAAAATCTGAATGCAAAAACTTCCAAATGCAGTCAGACAAACAACTCCCCACTTGTTTTATCAAATTATATATAAATTATAATTATAGATTATTTGAAATACTGGTTGCATCCAAACAGTTATGCTAACAGTTATGATCCTTTGAATCTACATGGTAAACAAAAGCTGAACTAAAGCTTGAATTTGAGAATTTACTCATTCGTGAAAAGACACACACACACACACACACACACACACACACACACACACACACACAGGTCCCAGTGGGAGCTTAAATTGGACTCAAAAAAAACAAATTAACCCTCTCCAGGGCAGAAGGGTCCAGCAGTAACATCATAAAAAAAACAAGTGGGCCACCTCAGGGGAGTCATTGTAGTCACTCACTCACACTTTTTCACAGTCTCTCTCTCGGACACACGCGCAAAATGTATCTTTCTCAGTAAATCTCTTTTGTCTGCTCTATCTCATCTCATCCACAAAGCATCAATCCATTGATCCACCCCACTTCTCTCAAGCAAAGGAGTTGTGGGCCTAGGGAAACAGTGGGTATAAACTATAAACCATCTCTAATTTATCAGAAAGAAAGGTAAACACCAACACCACACAAAGTGATAACAAAAGACATATTTCTTCTGGTTTATAATGTAATACTGGTTTAAAAAACAGGCCCAAATGTGCTGGAGGCAGGCAGAAGAAAGACTTGTGAATACAATAACATCCAGGACAATGAAGCAGGTTTTGTTTTCAGGTGTCAGGTATCCTGACCACTGAGCCTGTCTTCATAGCCATAGGCCAGTTCTCTTTGTCACATGCACTCACACCAGTCTGTGAAATTGCTAGCTAATGTATGACCATGAGACATGCAAATGAGCGTTGCTTCCATCAAAAGGTGCAGGCAATATGCTACAACCAACAGCGTGTGATGGAACATCTCCACAATATGGCTGCAAATGACACATGTAACTTTCAACACTCAGTGGCTTTGATTGCAGTGTGTGGCAGCCCACCTCTGCTCTGCTGAAACAATAGGTCATGTGAAGCAGTTTTTAATGATTTAAATCATTATAAAAAGGCAAAGTTAAAAAGAGCATTAAGTTAAAAAATAAGAACAAAAAAAGCCATCAGTTCAGGTTCAGCAGTGGTGGACAGTAACTAAGTACATTTACTCAAATACTGTACTTAATTACAAATTTGAGTTAATTTTCTTTTCATGCCACTTTCAGCTTCTACTGCACTATATCAGAAGGAAATATTGTACTTTTTTACTTCACTACATTTATCTGACAGCTTTAGTTACTAGTTACTTTACAAAATAAGATTTCTACAAACAAAGTAAATGAAGGATCTGAATACTATATATACCAGAGAGTTTCAGCTAAGTACATCAGCACTGATTAGTGACTTTTTTTTGGTCCCATTAGTATTTCTGATGGCTTCTATTTCAGTCAATCAGGAGGGTTTGATTTGTTAAAAAAAATTTAAATCAATAATATCACCTGAAGAACAAATAATTATGGCTGTAGCCTTCCCTCGTTTAAGTATCAAATACAAAAATACAGCTGTAACATGTGAAGCGTTGTAAATAAGTAATAGACTATTTAATTCAAGAAAAATTAGTAGGGTATTAGTAGCTCAAAAAGGGTGCAGTGAAATAAAGCATAAGCGTGTCAAAACAGAGCCTGGCTAATGTAACGCTACTTTGTTACATTTGTCAGAAGAGCTGATAGAAATCCGTTACAAACCTTTGGAGTCCCATTCAGTGAGCACTTTTCACGACAAGAACAACTATTTTCTTCCTTTTAACGGCTAACAAACTATCATGACGAAACCTCAAAAGAAATGTATCTAGAAATGCAAAACCAAAAATATATTTTATATGTACACTCCTGCCGGTCCCTGTGTTGCTGTTTGTCTTCCTCCTCAACAATGTTACGCCTCCACCTCAGCCGTCTTCCCTCCGTGTGGAAGAAGGTACACTGATTTAGCATCCACAAGTCTGAGTCCGGGACTGTACCAACTCTGGGTAAAAAGGGGTTTGAGTGCTCAGGATTCAACCATTTTAAATACTGTCAAGAAACACAATATCACTTCTGAAGGCTTATTGCCTCAAATCCGAATTTCAAAGAGAAAACCCACGAGTTTTAGTAGACCTAATAAAAAAAACATATGTAAATTAACCGCGTCTAACGCCATTACCCCTCTCTGTAGTTGGTAGGTTCAAAGGCTTTTACACAGTGAGGCATTCGGTAGACACCCCCTTCAGCTTTTCTTTGTCTACCTACCTATTTTCTTTCTCTTTTCTTTGAAATACCTTAGACCAGTGTAACCCCAAACCAGTTGGACTATGGAGACTGACTTTAAAACATCGTAAAACGTGTGGTTTTATTCTATTTAAACGACAACTTCATTAATTTAAGAAGTAGTTCATTTGACTTCTGAGACAAAACAACAATAGAGATGTGTTAGAAAAGAGATTTGAGGGTATGTCTGGCATTCTGAGTGGCTAAAGACAACACTGTAAGGAAAACATCTGTAATACTTTTGTAGGGAGAACAGACTGAGCCAACCATCTCTGCAACTGTTTCTTGTTTCTTTCAAATACTGCAAGCATTTTCAACACAACATGAACCAACTATTAGCTGTATGTCTTTTACCATGTGTGCAGATTGTGTATTTGAGACAGAGAGAGACAGAGAGAGAGCAGTTATTAGAGCAGCTAGTTCTGCATAGCAGGCTGAGTTTTATACCAAAGCTCCAAAGCAATGTGAACTGAAATGCAGAAATACATTGCTATTCCATTCATAGTGCTTAGAGGCTTTTGAAAGAAGAAAGAAAGAAAAGAAAGCATGCAGTAGTTACGCTTGTTATGTCATTGTTACTGCCGTTATCAGGAGTGATGTGATGTGATTCCAGGTCAAGCTCCAGTCCCAAATACAGAACAGATCACTTCCTAAACATAGCTAATTATCTCCAGACTGCCATACAGTGTGTGTGTCTGTGTGTGGTTAGACTAACTCAACCCAGAGCATCTGAGGCCAGTGGATATTCCCGAAAGATGTCCACTCTCTCTCTCTCTCTCCAAACCATGCCCTTTTGACTTTATTTAACCCCCTTTTCTCTGTCAGTCCTTTCCTCCACCCTTGCTACTTCACAATGTCCTGGCCTTGTGTGTGTGGACACACCAAAATGTTGTCAATATTTGAATCAGCCAGCCACAGCGGGGGAGATAAATAGGTCTGTCAATATTTAACTTTAAATGGCCAGGCCACACAGGACACAATGAAAAGGAGAAAAGAGTACACAGAAATGAGGGACACATGGAGAAAGAAAAGCCAGAGTACTGCATGCATATAACAGTGGTTCTCAAAGTGGGGTCCGGGGATCGCCAGGGGTCCTTGACAGGGTTTCAGGGGGTCCCCAGCAAAAAGGGGAATAGTTGATTTTCACTATAATTTCATTCATAAGTAACACAAAGACAAAATGTATGACTATTTTGGTCATAGGTTTCATACACTTTCTGTAATAAAACATTTAAAAGCAAAAATCAGAAATCGGATGAGGGACCTTGGGAAAATCTTATCAAATGGGGGTCCGTGGTCTGATATGCGTCAGTTTAGAGGTCCTTGATGTCAAAAAGTTTGAGTACCACTGTTCTATAATATAACAGCGGGAAAGGAAAAGGAAGAAACATAAAGTGGAAAATGCTACAAAAAGCAAAAACAGTGAAACAGGGAGAGCTTGCAACTGAGAATATCCAGGAAATGGAATTTGGGAGAAGAAAGAAGAAGGGAGAGGACAGACAGACAAGAGATAAACAGATAGTGGAAAAGATAGAATTTGTTGAGTACCATAGTATACGCTCTGCAGTTGGTGGAAGCTGTGACTCACTGTAGCAGCTAGCTGTTCCAAACCACTATGGATTAAATCAAACCAGAGGTACACACACATGCACACACATATGGAAATGCTCACACACACATAGGTCTCTACATGTATGTGAAAATACACACACACACACACAAATGCACTGTACACCGTTTCCATGCAGAACGTCAGCTCAATGTTAATTGTGCCCATATGACTCGTACACACACTGAAAGGAATGCAAGTTAACCAAACCACAAACAAACCACTCTCCCTCTTTCACACACAAACTCTCTCTCTCTCTCTCACACACACACAGGAATTATGAAATACAGACAGTATGTACACTATGCAATTAAGTTAGCTTTAACGCCACTTCTTTTTTTGACCAGTAGGTGGCAATATATCAAAGTTGTACAAGTGTGTGTGTGTATAAGTAAGTAAAGTTCCTTTAATATAGCACCTTTCACAGAGCAAGGTCACAAATTGCTTTACAAGAGTAAAATATTAGAAATAACACCATCATATCAGTAAATAGGCAATCTAGTATCAAGTAATAGGCATCAGTAATAGGCAATAACAGACCTTTAGAACACACAAGATTTCACACATTAGACAGTACAAGGTGAGCCAAAGGCCCGTGCTCTTTAAAGTCAACAGAGACCACCGAACATACATCTATAGAAAGAGTATTTCACAGTTTGGGAGGCTTTACTTCAAAGGCATGATCACCTTTTGACCCTGACTTGACCCTAGTCAGCACCATGCAGGACCTTAAAATGAATCTTGAACCTGAAGGGAAGCCAGTGTAAAGATGTGTGATATACCTGATGCACAGTAAATTGGCCCAAACTGTGCTGTACCACTCGTGTTTGTGTGTGTGTGTGTGTGTGTGTGTGTGTGTGTGTGTGTGTGTGTGTTAATCTTACCCTGTGTCAGTGGTGTGGGCACAGTGACCTGTACTCCATCCAGACTGCAGAGGTGACCACAAGGATCCAGGGTCACCACCCCTCCTGTGTGTGATGAGAAAGTAGGGGATAAGTCTAAAGTATTCACTAGTAAAAAATTGAAATGCAAATTGCTACATCATCCCTTACTCAAACATATTTACCTGTTGAAAGATGACTCCTAACTACACTACCAATTTGCCATGCTATATTTATCTTCACTACAAGGCTTTGGACTTAATGCTTAGCGTAGTAATTATATGGGATGTATCACACAGGAACAAAAACAACATCAAGAGTGTAATCAGTCACTCGCATTCTCCCTGTCTCTTCAAAGGTCATTTTCTTTCATTCACACACTGCACTGACAATGTATTGAAAAGATATCCATCTTAATAATTCACTCAATCTCATATTTATCTTGATGTATAATTTGTTTGAAACAATTCAAAGATAGTGCCAGCGTCATTTGTTACTGATTCTGTTGATGTCAAAAGGCTTGTTTGTTACTTTCTGAGATACTATTTAGCAAATGTTTTTAAAATACTGTAATCTCTCTTCACTGGCAGATAAATTTTCAGTATGGTCTGTAGCAACAAAATATTTAAGATAATACACAAAACTAAGACTAAAAGCTGTGAGTGCCTTACACACTTAACAGTGTAAGGATGTAACCAATTGTAGTACACATTTGCCAGTTCTCAAAAGATCAGAGAACGGTGTTAATTCAGAGGCATGCCAATAAAATTGTTATATATAATTAATTTTGTAGAAAGTGAACTGACATCAACCTTCATTGAAGATGAGACAGTGCTCTGCCTCGATGCCAGGCCCGTGGATAGTGATATCTTGAGGAATTGGAGCATCTTCTCTGCCTATGCGGGTCACTCCTGGAACAACAAGCAATGTGATCATCAATATATATATATATATATATATATATATATATATATATATATATACACACACATACATACACACAGTGTGTCAGCTGTTCTGTAAATCTGTCTCTGTGGAAACCTGATTACTAATAGACACCATCTTTAGAAGTAAAACTTCTAAAGAGTACATGTATTTATCTGTTTATGTCTTTTTGAACCATGCGGGTGGTCTGTGAGCTGCACGTTACTTCAGTATTTTGAATTTTAACTGGTTATTCTTCTTAAGTAGACACATTTTGGAGACATAGACCCTCAGTTCTCCTAAAATGGCTTGTACGCATTGTTGGCATTCCTCAATGAAATGGAAGGGCGCTCCCAAGCTGGGATTTTGTGAACGTGTGTGGCAATGTGGTGTGGGTTATGCAGAGATACTTAACAATGTCAAGTATGACATTATATTAAAATATATATGATATAACAATGTGGTATACACTGTTCATAAGTGGCTAAAATCACACTTAGCCTTATTTGACAAACTAACCAGTTTATCTGCAAGTGGACTTGTGGGTTACTACAGTTAGTAATTTGTAATACTGACATAATTTAAAACGTGAATAAATCCATCCATTTAAAAGCTAACACAATTGTTCACTGCACTGTTCATGGCTGAGAGGAGGCAAAACAAAAAGTGTCTGTCCTTTTGCAATGGGAGTATAATGAGAGCTTTGTGATCCACACAAGACATACAACATAAATGTATGTGAGAGTCCCCAGTGTTATACTGAGGACAGATCCTCACTCACATTCAGTGCTTTTAATCTAATATCAGTCAGTTTGTATTATTATTCCATCTACTATCTGCAGGCTATTGAATTATAATCAGCTTTACAAGCGTGACTCTCACTTTATCATGTTGTAGATCTCTCTATCTTTGCTCATATCTCTTTGCTATCATGTGTTTGGCCAACTAACTGGAATAATAATGAAGCTATGGCACCTGTGGCTTGCTGATCTGATGATTGTATGTGTGTGTGTGTGTGTGTACGAATGAGAGGGGGAGAGTGATTGAGGGAGAAGTAGTGGAAGACACCTGTGGATGGCTGATGATAGAGAAACTATAAATAACTATAAATACAAAATGTCACTATAATCATACTGTGTGTGTGTGTGTGTTTTTATGCGCACACATACAGTGCATCTTGTTTGCCAATATTTGCAGGATGCAAAAAACAGCATGAACTAATTTGAATCCGACTTTTCTAAGGAATCGTGTGGGTTTCAATCTTTCAGTTTAATGGAATGGCTGCTTTCTCTTTGTTGGAGCAGACCTTGACATGAAACCATGTAGTGTGAGTCATCTCTGTTTGATAGCTGTTTGGGTTGCAGTCTGTTACATACAGCAGGGCTGTATGGTTAACTTTGGGTTCATTTTCATCCCCAATGACAATAAAAATAAATGCGGATTTAGTAACTTGTGTAAATATGTGTTTTCAGTCCATGGTGCTGGCTCCTTGTCTTGACTTTTTTGCGACCCAGCACAGAGTATCACTTTCCCCAATCACACTCCCCCCACCTCTCCAGTAACCATGGAAATTAAGCAGTAGGTGGGCGGGAGAGAGCAAAAAGAGGAGAGAAGTAGAGCAAGGAAAGGCAGGGAAACAAAGCAGTGAGGGAGGGGACAGTTAAGTTCTGGTTTCACCACAGGTAAATTACATCCATTTAAAAACTCCATGACCCTGGACATTGGGGACGGAGATGAAGATGGTTACTGTATGACCTGGTAATCCTAACTCATGGAATATATATCTCTTTGCTGTAGGTGCGTGTGTGTTACCTTCTTTCAGTGGCAGCAGGGTGATTGCCACACTCAGCCTCCCACTGCCCAGGCTCACCAGATGAGGCGTGGCTGTCTGGACCTTTAGACCCTTCCCCGTGTCAATCAGGTCCAGAGGCGGAGACTACAAGCATCAGTCAAGAGTGGAAAGGTCATTTTCACGATAATCTATTTATCAGGAGTATTTCTTCGTTCTTGTAAGACTAGAAAAACTCTGTCTGCAGAATGATAAATAATTCTGTATTAATATGGCCTTTGGCCTAATTTGTGTGTGTGTGCGTGCGTGTGTGT